GAAGACAAAGACCTTAAAAAATAATCGCATATCGCATCGCAATCGCAATATTGGGGCAAAAAATCGCAATTAGATTATTTTCCATAATCGTTCAGCCCTACTTGTTGCTCCATTCCTCTCTCAATTCCCAAGAGGACTACACATCCCGTACAGAAGGAAAATTGCCAGTGTGTTTGGACGTGCATGTGAATTTTGCTGTATTATCCACTGAACAATCTTTGTCAAATGATTCCTAAGGTGCTTGTAAACACAAGTTAGGCTATAGACAGTTTCACTTTTTACTTAAAACCCCAGCAAACCGTCACCAAGTAATATTACAGACAGTTGATCAGGTTCACTCCAAAGGGGCTAAATGGGGCTACTTGGGGAAACATGGCACACAAAGATGCAAATTAATGTTTCAAGAAGTAAGGCCCAGACATTAAAACAGTGCCGCATTTGACCATTTCTACATTCCACAAAAGACAAGAGAAAGTAAAAAAGAAATCGGAGAAATCAGAGAATCCAGCTTCTCTGATTACATCAGGCACCACTGGTGGGGTGTGGAGTAACTGAAGGTGTAGCTCTGAAAGTCAAGAAAAACAAGTCAAGAAAAACCAAGGACTGCTTGACCTTTACCTTCCACTGTGCTAGCCTTATACAGGTCAGTATAGACAGGAGTCAAAGTTAACTGAAGTTAGACTCAGGTTACAAGCCTGAATATTAAATAGCAAAATACATCAGTACACACAAAGATAAGCAAACCCAACGAGGTATTAAGTCAGGCAAATGGTTAGGATACCCTCTCTGACAGCAATTATCACTGGAGAGTTCTGGTATGATATGTCAGGACAGAGTGCCAATAGGGCCACCCTTCTACTGCATCCAACGCCCTGTATAACCCAATTATCCTATATCACTGCCTCGCACACTCAGATCTTATCTTGCCTGCTGCACCCGGATGGACTTTTTCTCTGGCATACTGCGGGATATTTTGCTTAGGACCAAGCCCTTCCTTGTATTTTTCAATAGCAGCCCCCCTAGCCAGCGCTCAGCGGTGGCTGCATAACAACAAGAACATTCCCTCCTAAATTTCTGCTATAACTGGAAATGCCAACCCAAGTACATCATGGACACAAGCACCCACATGACTGTCCAGAAATGCATTGGGAAGGCACAAGCACAACCCGATTGCATTACAGAAACA